AATCACAACATCTGAAGGGAACTTGTAACACTTTTGTTGCCATATCACATGTGATCTTATGTCTTATGCACCACTAAAGCCGTATGTCAAATTAAATTTTTTTATAAGTTGCTTTACACATTGGGTTTTATCACAGCAACAGAAAAGGCATTAATACACAGCCATAAAGTTTGACACCTGGTTGAGTAATTGAAGAGAAATATGATTCAATTTCAAACAAAATGTAGAGGAACATCACATCATACAGCCTGAATAGATTGTTGACACATTTTATTCTCCTGTAAAATAACCTTGTGTGTTGGCTATAGATTTATTAAATCCTTTATAGTCATAGATTCCCTTCAGTGTGGATCCTTACATCTTCAAAGACTACTGTCAGGCAAAGAATTTAAGATTGATTATACATTGAATGTTTTACTCTTGTTTAAAGGAACCTTAAAGTGCAAAATGTTGCCACACTGACTACATATATGGGTTCTTCTGCAGTATGACTTTTTCTCATGGTATTTGAGAATATAGCTACATGCAAATGATTTACCAATTGCTTATTCATAGTATTCCAGTCCAGTATGTGTTATTTATTTGTGGATAATTGTGTTGTTAAAAAGGCCTTATCACATTAATTACATTGGTTGGGTTTCTCTCCAATGTGGTTATTTTCTTATTTATTGAAAAATGACTGATAGCCAAATACTGGGTGTAATGGTAATTGGTTAGTTCCCTCCACTCCCTGACAGCAGCAGCACAAATACATCAGTTAGAATCAGCTGAGCATAGGAACGCACAGCATCTCAAACGCCTGATTATCATGCAGTCTGGGAACTGACTTAACACAAGGAACATTAGAATCAGTCCACAACATTTCACCCGTTTCATCCATTAAAAAAATCTTTTCTCTCAGATATACATTGAATATAGTTGTAACAGTTATGTAAGCTATAAGATATAATATACACTAGCAACATCCAGTCGATCAATTTTGTCAGTTTAGGTACATTACTCTAGCATCTATCGTAGCTTAAAGAGTTTACAATTCTATGCCTGAATTACATTTTTTATTTTAATTTGCATTACCATCTGAAAACCATCCTTTCAAATCTACATCATCTTCCTCAATGCTAAACAACTTTGAGTTTATGAGACTATAGCGAGTCTTCAACCACGTCAGAGATCCGAGAAAGAATTCATTTATAGGAAGCATAAAAATGTAGCTTTCAAAACTTAAACAAATTGCAGAGACATCTGACTATCTGTACAGTTTCCTATTCTTCAAATGTTGGAGCAACTGTCTTCAGCCTTCTGGCCCAGAATCATCTGACAGACTTTAAGTAAAGCAGAAAGAAATATTATGAAGTTCTAGCTTACTCTGTCTTGGCAGAGGTAAGCTGTCATTTGTTCTACATCTTGTGTCCTTTCCTTGACAGTATTTTTTTGTCTGTAGATGAATTAGGGCAGTTCTTGCCCAGTGGCTATCTTGCTAAAATTGGAACAACTCCATATAGAGATTACGATGCTCAATATCTTCTTTGAACCATGACGGGGGTATTGTCAGGAGCTGACATGTCTATTAGTCAAAATTCTAATAATAATGAAATATTACAAATGCTAGATTCTGTGGATTTCTGATGTTTCTGAAGACTATATATAAAGTATATCTGAACTGCTAAACCTTGTCTATGCTTAGCTATTTCTATTTGAATAATATTGAAAACATTTTATTATAATTAAATCAGAATCTAATACAAACATGTGTTTACTATCTGGCATTACTTAATGATTTTAAACAGTTTGTAATGGCAGCTATAGAAGGGCTGGTTCAGAGGCTTGTGTCTTTAAATAGGTTGCAGAGGCACAATGCCTATCTAAGAGTAACAATATTAATTCCAAATTTTGTACCAGTATATATAGATTTATACCAATGAAAACCTCAAATCTGTATCAATATATAAATTCTGTACAGATGCGAGATATTTTAACTTCAAATTTGCAACACATACAAAGATTCCTACCAATGTAAGTTTATTGTTACACAGTGTTTTTTTTCCACAATGTCTTCCTGCTGAACTAGGGCAATGCAATTGTTAAAGGGGTGGGGAGGGGTAGGAAGATTAGAAAAATTGGTTAGAATTAAGAAAGCTAGCTTTAGCATTTGTTCTTTCATGCTTAAATGACTCAGGGTGTGACTGAAGTTCAGGGATCTGTCTGAAAGACTGGATGAACAGAATCCATTTTGAGTCAACAGCAGTTTCTGAAACTGTTCTGGAAGCAAGTCTCTGGAAATGGCATCAGGAGGCAGGTAGCTAGAACAACAGTCAATCATCTCAGCATCCCTACAAATGAATCTTGTCAGAGGGGCACATTCTGCAAGATATTCATATGGATTGTGCAAGGTGCACAGATCTGTTAAGGATTAATTTTTGCTCCTTGTTTGAGCAGGTGAAAAACAACTATCCTTTTAGGAGTTAATTTGATCTATAACTGATTGTAATAAATCTTCATTCATGCCATATGAAGGATGATATGATGAATCTTAAGTGCTCCATAACCAACAAATACGTATTGTCTAATTTTAGCTGAAGTTTTGGCTACAGACTTTTTATGTCTAGGCTAGTTACAGGGCTGTTCCCATGTGGAAGAATCAGCAAATCATGTTTCCTGCCTGTTTGATTTTCTCAAACTTTTTTTTTCTGTAGCCAAGATCTTCAGGGGGACTTGATATGATCTGTATCACTCTGGAAGGGGGTCCAAAGCCTTTTCTTCCTTTTATTAGCACAAATATAGAGCCTGTCTCCCATAATATCATGTTCCAGTAACCCAAAGTCATCAACAGTATAGATTGATTCAATTAGCAGCCTTCTTTCTTTTCAGACTTGCCCTATTTTGACTTCTCTTCCAGAGGATTTTTAATATCATAACCACCAAACTTATAACGACACACATTTTGATAGTTAAAACAATCTAAGCAATTGTTATATTGTTATTATCCTTTGAGACAGTGTTCCTTCACTATTTCCTGCTTTGTTCTTACATGAGATCAAGGCCTAAGTTTATACTATCAGTCTGGGATAAGGTTATTCTGCCTATCTCATGCTCTTGACCTACACTTTTAAGATCAATAGACTCAATTTATTTATTTATCCATGCATACTTAAATTCTCCCTTCTCTGGAGATTAATATATCAGTACACACACACACACACACACACACACACACACACACACACCCTTTCACTTTGTATGACTTGAACAAACATTCTTTCCTATTTATTTACCTTCAGTTAAATAATTCCCTTCTACTTACTGTATATAAGCCTAGTTCCAGGCTCTTAATTTGCCATACCTGGCCAAGCAATACCAGCATTCCTGTGTTGCCCACAGTCAAAGAACCCAAGGGCCTGCCCTGGCATAGACTTTTTAAATTTTCTTTAAAGCATTTTTTCCATTCATTCTCCATTGTGTAGAGATTAATTCTTATTATTATTCATTGAGATAGAGTATATCTTCATGCCTTTGTTTCCTGTATTTGAGATTAAAGGCCTGGATTACTTTATTCCATATATGCTCACAGACACTTAAACAATTACCACTATATCTCTTTTATCCTTAAAAACAGTTAAACAAATTTCCTGTCTCTCTCTCTCTTTCTTTGATTATAGCTTGCAGGCAGCCTCTGCTATCTACCTCTTTCTCTGCTTATTGAGCAACCTGTCTCTTCGTAGAGCACCTCTGAGCTCAAACTATTTGAGACAGCCAGAAACCTTTGAGAAGGGCCTTTTGGAGGTCAGTCATGATAGGCCCCTTGTTGTATAGCATCAGTAATAGTGTCAGACCTTGGGGCCACCCACTGAGTTGGATCCCAATTTGGGCCTGTCACTGGACCTCCTTTTGCTCAGGCTCTTCTCCATTTTTGTTCCTGCAGTTCTTTCAGACAGGAACAATTCTGGGCCTGAGTTTTTGATTGTAGGATGGCAGCTCTATAACATTCTGGCTCACAGTGGGGAGGGGAGTGTGTTGTGGGTCACACATTAGGTTCTAAGAATGCTCTCTGGTCATGAACCAGCAGCAGCTTTATTACCATAAACTCCTGTCATTTCCATTACCTGAGTTTGAGTTGTGTTGGATCTGAGAGGACCCCATACCAGAAAGGCTCTACTACGTTGTTTACGCTCATAGACTTTCTCTCCAGTATGATTACTATCATGATGATGAAGACTGTAGAAATGTGCAAAGGCTTTCCCATATTGAATGCATTCATAGGGTTTCTCTTTCATGATGATGAAGACTTGGGAAATTTGAAAAGACTTCACCATATTAAATATATTCATAAATTTCTTTCCAGGATAGATTGTTTCATGGTGATGAAGACTATAGAAATGTGCGAAAGCTTCACCATATTAAATACACTCATAGGATTTTTCTACATTATGGTTTCTTTCGTGCCTTTCATTATGACTGAGATGTGAAGGCTTTACTACATTGCTATCATTCATAGGGTTTCCTGCCTGTCTGTCTTTTATGTATCTGAAGATGATTGCAATGTCCACAGGCTTTAGCCCATTGATGGCATTCATAGGGTTTCTCTTGAGTGCATCTGCTTTTATTTACTTGGAGAGTACTGCGACTTGCAAAAGATTTACCACATTGCTTATATTCATAGGGTTTCTATCCAGTGTCTATTCTTTTATGTGTTAGGAGATGGCTCTTTTTTGGAAAGGGTTTACCCCAGTGATTACATTCAGAGGATTCCTCTCCAGTGCGTGTCCTTTTATGGATTTGAAGGTGATTGTGATGTAAGAGGACTTGAGCACGTTGATGACAAGCGTAGGGTTTCTCGCTGTGTATGTTCCTTTAGATATTTGGAAGCCACTGCTGTGTGAAAAAGATTAAAACCACGTTGTAACATTCAAAAACTTCTCTCCTGTATGTTTTCTTTTATGATTTTGGTGACCACTGCTTTATGAAAAAGCTTTGCCACATTGGTTACAGTCAAAGGATTTCTCTCAACTATGTGTTCTTTTATGTATGTGAAGACTATTGATTTTTGAAAAAGTTTTACCACATTGGTTACATTCAAAAGGTTTCTCTCTTGTATGTGTTTGTTTATGTATTTGGAGACTCCTGTTTTGTACAAATGCTTTACCACATTGGTTACGTTCATGGTATTTCTCTCCTGTATGTGTTCTTTTATGATATTCAATACCACTGCTTCCTGCAAAGGCTTTACCACATTGGTTACATTCATAGAGTTTCTCTCCTTTATGTATTCTTTCATGCATTTGAGTATGACTCTGATATGCAAAGGCTTTACCATATTGAATAAAATTCAGATTGTTGCTCTCCAGTACAACTTCTTTCATGCCTTCCATGTCTTCTAGGTCTATGAAAATGTTCTTCAATTGTATGGTCTCCCCAAATGTAGCCTGTAGCTGTGAGATTCCTATAGGTCTGCAGCATCACACCTTTGCAGAGACTCTTCTGAGAAGGTTCCAGCAAAGCCCACTCTTCCTGAGTGACGTTCACATGCACGTCATTCATAGGTCACTACCTCCATGTCTGGAGTTCTGAGCATGCCAAGGTCCCCTTACAGCACGCAGCAGAGGCATTCAGAACATACCACACTGAAACAAACACTCATGCTCGCTGAGTTACAGAAAAGTGATGCCATGGTTTTTTATAATCTTTTGGTTTTGCTGCTTGGGCTTGAACCTAGGGCCTTGAATATACTCAGCACACACCTAGAGCTATAAAACAAAACAAAACAACCAACCCCACTCAAGTGGTATTTTTCTCTATCATCAGTCATTTCTGAGTTTCCCTTAATCTGTGTTTGCTCGATTTAAAAAAAAAAAAGGTACAACTGTGTTAGACTGTTTAGATTTTAGAATTCATGTTGAAATATTAGGTAATTCAGGCAGCAATATATGACTACTGTATAATTAAGTCTTTTATCATTATCTTTTAATAAAATGTGACAGTCTGTTAAAACTTCTTTCTTAAATCAATATTACCTGAAGTGGTAATGTTCAAGTTTTAAGCTTTTCTTTGGTGTATGTCTTCAAATAGTATGTTGCTGTGACTGTTTTTCAATCGTTGACACTTGTATATTGTTTCTTTATGGATTTATACATTTTTAAGGCAATATTTATATATAGCTAGGTATTTATTTATTTATTTATTTTTACTGATGAGTCAAATTGTAAACATCTTTAAAAAATATATTCCTTACTGGAAAAAAGATTTTTTTGTTTATTTATTTATTTATTTATTTATTTATTTATTTATTTTTACAGTCCAGACTTTATCCCTGTCCTGTTTCACTCTCTGATTATTCCACATTCCACACCTCCTTCCCCATCTCCAAGAGGATGTTCATACTTCCCCTACTCTACCAGGCCTTTCCACTCCCTGGGGCTTCAAGTTTCTTGAGGGTTAGGTGCGTCTTCTCTGACTGAGTCCAGACCCGGCAGTCCTCTGCTATATATGTGTTGGGGCTTCATATCAGCTGGAGTATGCTGTCTGGTTGGTGGTCCAGTGTTTGAGAGATCTTGGCGGTGCAGGTTAATTGAGACTGCTGGTCTTTCTCTAGGGTCACCCTCTTCCTCAGCTTCTTCCAGCTTTTCCCTGATTCAGTCACAGGGGTCAGCAGCTTCTGTCCATTGGTTGGGTATAAATATCTGCATCTGACTCTTTCAGCTGCTTTTTGGGTCTTTTGGAGGGCAGTCATGGTAGGCCCCTTTTTGTGAGCACACCATAGCATCAGTAATAGTGTCAGGCCTTGCAGCCTCCCCTTAAATTGGATCCCAATTTGGACCTGTCACTGGACTTCTTTTCCTCAGGCTTGTCTCCATTTTTTGTCCCTGCAGTTCTTTCAGACAGGAGCAATTCTGGGTCAAAGTTTTTGACTGTGGGATGACAATCCCATCCCTCTACTTGATACCCTGTCTTTCTACTGGAGGTGGATTCTACAGGTTTCTCTGTCCACTGTAGGGCATTTCATCTAAGGTCCCTCCCTTTGAGACTTGAGAGTCTCAATCTCTGGTACATTCTAGAGGGTCCCTCCACCTTCTACCTCCCCAGGTTGCCTGTTTCCATTCTTTCTACTGACCCTCTGGGCTTTACTCCTGTCCCCACCCACCTCCCCATACCTGATCATGTTCCCCTCTTTCCCTCCGTGTTCCCTTTCCCGCCCAGGGAAATGTTCCCTCCCTCCCCTTGTCCTGTGATTGCTTTCATCTTCCTCCCAAGTGGGATTGAGGCATCCTCACTTGGGCTCTTTGGCTTGTTAGCCTTGAGTTCTGTGGATTGTATCCTGAGTATTCTTTACTTTTGTGTAGAATATCCACTTATTAGTGAGTACATACCATGCATGTCTTTTTGAGTCTCAGTTACCTCACATGGGATGGTATTTTCTACTTCCATCCATTTGCCTGCAAAACGTATGATGTCCCCATTCTTAATAGTTTAGTAAGTATTCTGTCGTGTAAGCGAACCACATTTCTGTATCCATTCTTTTGTTGTGGGACATCTGGGTTGTTTCCAGCTTCTGGCTATCACAAATAAGGCTGTTATGAACATAGTGGAGCATGTGCCCCTCTGGTATGGTGGGGCATCTTTTGGGTATATGCCCAAGAGTGGTATAGCTGAGTCTTCAGGTAGAGCTATTTCCAAGTTTCTGAGGAATCTCCAGATTGATTTCAAGAGTGGCTGTACCAGTTTTCAATCCCATCAGCAGTGGAGGAGTGCTCCCCTTTTCCCACATCCTCCCCAACATGCGCTGTCGTCTGAGTTTTTGATCTTAGCCATTCTGAGTGGTGTAAGATGGAATCTCAGGGTCATTTTGATTTGCATTTCCCTGATAACTAAGGACTTTGAACATTTCTTTAAGTGCTTCTCAGCCATTTGAGATTCCCTTGTTTAGTTCTATACCCTATTTTTCCATTGGGTTGTTTGTTTCTTGGTGGTTAGCTTCTTGTGTTCATTATATAGTTTGGATATTAGCCCTCTATCGGATGTGGGGTTAGTGAAGATTTTTTTTTTCCTAATCTGTAGGTTGCTGAGTTATCCTATTGGCTATGTCCTTTATCTTACAGAAGCTTTCCAGTTTCATGTGGTCCTATTAAATATTTGAAAATCCATTGATACAATCCACTATATAAACAAACTCAAAAAAAAATCACATGATCAATCTTCTTAGATGCTGAAAAAGTATTTGATAAAATATAACACCCCTTCATGTTAAAAGTATTGGAGAGATCAGGAATTCAAGGCCCATACCTAAACATAATAAAAGCAATTTACAGCAAGCCAACAAACAATATCAAATTAAATGGAGAGATACTTGAAACAGTCCTACTAAAATCATGTATAAGGCAAGGCAAGTACCAAATAGTACTCGAAGTTCTAGCTGAAGCAATAACACAACAAAAGGAGATCAAGGGGACTCAAATTGGGAAAAAAACAAGTCAAGTTATCACTGTTTGCAGATGATATGATAGTATACATAAGCAACCCCAAAAATTCTACCAGAGAACTTCTCTAGCTGATAAACAACTTCAGCAAAGTGGCTGGATATAAAATTAACTAAATAAATCAGTAGCCTTCCTTTTTACAAATGATAAACGGGCTGACAAGTAAGTTAGGGAAACAACACCTTTCACAGTAGTCACAAATAATATAAAATATCTTGGGATAACTCTAACCAAACAAGTGAAAGATCTGTATGACAATAACTTCAAGTCTCTCAAGAAAGAAATTGAAGATGTCAGAAAATGGAGGGATCTATCATGCTCATGGATTGGCAGAATTCACATTGTAAAAATGGGCATCCTAAAGGCCATCCAAAGACTCCCCACCTGGGGATCCATCCCATATACAGTCACCAAACTCGGACACTATTGTGGATGCCAAGAAGTGCATGCTGATAGGAGCCTGATATAGCTGTCTCCTGAGAGGCTCTGCCAGAGCCTGACAAATACAGAGGGGATGCTCGCAGCCAACCATTGGACTAAGCATGGGGTCCCCAATGGAGGAGTTAAGAGAAAAGACTAAAGGAGCTGAAGGAGTTTGTAACCACATAGGAAGAACAATAATATCAACCAGTCAGACTCTCCAGAGCTCCTAGGGACCAAACCACCAACCAAGGAGTGCACATGGAGAGACCCATGCCTCCAGCTGCATATGTAGCAGAGGATGACCTTGTCAGGCATCAATGGGAAGAGAGGGCATTAATCCTATGAAGGCTTGATGCCCCAGTGTAGGGGAATTTGAGGGGAGGGAGGTGGGAGTTGGTGGGTGGGGCAACACCCTCATAGAAGCAGGGGAGGGGGGATGGGATAGGGAGTTTCCAGTGGGGGGGGGACCCGGAAAGGGGATAACATTTGAAATGTAAATAAAGAAAATATCCAATAAAGAAAAGAAAAGAAAAAAGAAATGATCGTCCTACCAAAAACAGCCTGCAGATTCAATGCAATCTCCATCATAATCCCAACACAACTCTTCACAGACATGGAAAGAGCAATTCTCAAATTCATCTGGAAAAAAAAACCCTAAGAATAGCTAAAAACAAACCCTTCTTAACAGTAAAAGAACTTCTGGGGAATCACCATCCCTGACCTCAAGGTATACTACAGAGCAATAGTGATAAAAACCACATGATATTGGTACAAAGACAGTCACGTTGATCAATGGAATCGAATTGAAGATCCAGAAATAAAACCACACACTTATGGACACTTGATCTTTGACAAATAAAAAATATACAATGGAAAAAAAAGCATCTTCAATAAATGGTCCTGGTCTAACTGGCAGTCTGTGTGTAGAAAAATGAAAATAGATGAATGTTTGTCACCTTGCACAAAGCTCAAGTCCAAGTGGATCAAGGATCTCAACATAAAACCAGATACACTGAAACTAATAGAAGGGAAAGTGGGAAAGAGCCTCAAACTCTAGCACAGGGGAAAATTTCCTAAACAGATCTCGAAAGGCTCAGGTTCTAAGATCAAGAATTGGAAAAAGTTTTTCATAGACTATAATATGATCATAGTTTCCCCTCTTCAAGTGTTATGTGCTATGGGTGTGTGGGTATACCACCATGTACATGTAGAAACCAGAAGAGAAGTTTGTGGAGCCCTTTATCTCTTGTACCAAGTAGGCCTTGGGCATTGAGCTTGGGCTGTCAGGGCTGAGCCACTTGGTGAGCCCCGGGTTTTCAGTTTGTTTGTGTGGGTCAGCAGTTTTCCTCATGTCCCATAGCATTGCAGAGTTCTTGTCTACAAAGACAAGTGTGTTAGTCTGCCAATTCTGTTTTTCTTCCTCTTAGTCTGGATAATTTTTAATGTCTTTTGTGTTCACTTTCTTTTATTTTGGTTTCTATATCATCTCTCTTTTTTTTTTAATTCATTTTTTTGGGGGGGAGGGTGCAAAGGTTCCTCTAATTTATACTTTTGACAAAAGAT